TTTCTGCAATAACAAAAGCTAGCCTCATTACAGTGTCCCTTGTAATCCCGTAGCCCATGTCTGCTGTATTTATTAGGTATTCATACAACTGATCTTCTTCTTTAATAAGAAAGGTTGGTGGGCCCGGTTTACATTCGACTGGTACAAGACCTTTGACTCTCCTTCTCAGAGTTTCTACAGGCACATTATAACACCTTGCAGCCTCCCTCAATCCCATTGCATCTGATTCAACAGAAGCCACTGCCTGTTCCATTGCTTCCTGCGACCAATACTTTCTCTTGCAAGCCATTGACTATTAAAATGGAAAATAATAGCCTGCACAAATATAAACAGGGTAATTTACCGATAATTTGTTAGAATTAGAGGTGATTATTGACAAGAGATCAAGGTGCCAATAAGATAAAACAAGTGAGGCTAGAAAAAATGGAGCATACTTGCCACGTGCCCAGTTCTATTTTTAATAAATTATGGGTGTGTTCAATCTACCAAGTTAAGTTATTATTATTTATTTTTATTTACAAAAAACGTGAAAGCAAGAAGCCCATCTTTTCAAGAAAGAGCCACTACAACAGCAACCTTCATTAGTATTAGTTTGAAGGCCGAATAAAAAACTGTCCCATAATAGCAACTGTCTCATTTTGCCTACACATACTCTACTTTCACAAAATAAGTGTGCAAATTGTCAAAAATTGTTTAAAATTGAAATATAACAATTCAAAAAGTAAAAAATTTATCATACATACATAAAGGAATGACAAAATGGCAGCACTGACTGCCTCATCTTTAATTGGTAAATGTTCCACACAAAGTTACTCCAAGTGCTGTCATATTTAGCAGGAACACAGGTATAACGATGGAGAACAGCTACTGAAGTGCGCAAATTGATGATACTTATTCTAAAGAAAGACATAGCCTAGTAAATGGAAATGTCCATTCCTGCCCTGTATAAAGTCAACAAGCAGTATATGGAGATAATTGCTCAGTATACTAATCCGTGTCCACTCATTGCTGGACTAGTGATGGGCGATATGGCCAATTTTTTTAATTTTCGATAACGATCGATAATGGACTTTATTAGGAAATATCGATTATTAACGATACGATAACCACACCTTCATTTAGGGGTGTGTCAAAGGTGTGGCTAATAATTTTGGCACTGTACTCAGTGTACTGGACATGAGAGAAGATCATTTCCATGCTCTTGAGCCTTGTTTATCTTCTTATTGGGGTAGGCTGAGCTAACAACTGGTCAGTTACCTCTTTCTTGCAGTTCAACAGTGCAATTACTTATTAAAATTAGTTATTTAACTTTAATAAATGGGCGTGGCCAATAGATTGATGAAAATTGCATAAAATTTTCGATAATGATTCAAATTGATTCCGTAAAATATCATTTATATTGATAAAGAATTGATATATCGCCCATCACTATGCTGGACATGATTTGTTTATAGAAGTATCTGCTAGGTATTCGTTTTCAAATGTCTGCGAATGAATAAGTATGCGTTTTCATGTGTTTTAGTGTAAACGAAACCCGTATCTGTGACTAAAAGTCTACGTTTTCCAATGAAAACGTAGTAGTGTAAACGTGGCCTTAGTTAATGGTCATATTTAACTAAGATTAAAGAAAAAAAATCTATAATTGGTAGAGCCAAACTTCCAATACAATAAATACATGTTCATTAATACTAAGTTGATGATTTATTATTATTTATTTATTTATTTATTTTAGACGTAATCACACTAGTGAACATAATCAACAATTTGCCAGTCAACTTCTATGAATGACACTTCATTTCCTTCTAAGATTCATTAAAACTCATTCCAGTACCAGCAGAATGGGAACTAGACCTTCAGGAACTGATGAACCAGAAGTGACGTCACTTGGGCGGAGTGAGAGCCAGGCCAGTGAGGACTCATCATACTTGGGACACTCTTTTAAAAACTATGGTTTCATATCGTCCAGTGAAATAACATCCCATATTCACAGTTTTAGACCTACCTAAAGGTATTACACTGAATTACTGATCCTAAGGGGCAGAGTTTGACTGTTTGTTACACATAATGGTGAGAAAAGAATCCTGGGACCACGCCTCCACTGAGGTAAATTAATCAAATTACTAAGAAATTAATATTTATAATGTTTTAGACAGTAATCCAGTGATCGTTAGTATAACCGGTAACATAACGTTCCATTAGGCCAATCCATCTCATTCATTGGTAGTTAAAAGGGGAGGTGTTACCACACCCTCAAGATGAAACTGTACCTATACATGTAACGTCAGATCTTATTGTATTTATTTATTATTGACTCTGCCCTTTTATAGCCATGCCCACACAAATGAAGTTGAGTAGCGTTAGTATCAGTGGCGGAGCTGGAACTAAGCTGATGCCCGGGCCCGGATGTGGGTGTGTCCTGTTTTTAGCTTTTTCCATAGATGCTTTTTAATTATAATACTTTTTCTTTGGGTATTTTACTTGAAAATGCTTGCTAATTGCTTATATACACCTGTATGTACTTGTTAGTACTCTGGTGAGGCTTGTGGTTAGCTTTATCTAAACTTTGGGCAAGAAATTGTTTACATTGCATCTAATGAATCTCATTACAGAGCTTTGATGCCCGGGCCTAGGCCCGTGTGGGCCCGGGTTCAGCTCCGCCACTGGTTAGTATCAGTTTAATAATGATGACATTCTTTGAGAAAAATATAAACAAGATACATGTACATGTTACTTTTGTACCATTTGCCTAATTATCAGTTTTATATTCCCTCTTTCTCTCTCTCTCTCTTTCTCCCCTCTCTCTCTCTTTCTCCCTCTCTCTCTTTCTGTCTTTTTAGGGTGCTATCATACAAAATTCTATTAGATATTTAATCCAAAATTATTTTCAAAAACAATTAAGAGACACTGGTAATTTATTATACATTTTCTGGCAGAGCTAATGACTGAGAACTGCTGGTTGACCTCTATAGAACAAGATGCTCTTGAGTGTTCAAAAATGTTAGAGACATGCTATTCTACCTACAGCTATGAGACTGCAAAGATGATTTATAATAGTTCCAGTGATCATTTGTACCATCCACCAGTGACCACTCTACCACCAGTGAACAGCACAGGGAATGTACTGGACATGTACACGTATCTAGAGACATTTGGAGGAGTAAGGGAGAGAGAGGGAGAGGCAGAGAGAATTTATTACATATTCTGGTACATATACATGTTGTTATTTTGTGTAGAG